GCCTATAGCCCGACTCTGGACCCACAGCTAGTGCTCTGATTGGTTAGAACGGGTCACATGGTGCACATTTATGTCAACACACGGTGGAAGACGCGAGCCTGTGTAGAGGAAGTTATATAGAAGAAAAAAAAAAAGGCATTTGGTTATGAGCACAGGCCATTTAAATCAGTATGACTTGTTTTGTCCATCTTTTCCGATCTTATCTTCTCTGCTCTCTTCTTGAGTCTTCCAGGTACTTCCCAGTGTCACAGCTCTATTTAAAATGTGCTGGTGTTTAGTCCCACTTTATTGTCCAATGGAAAATTTAAGCAACGCATTTACAACTCCAGAAATGTTACACACTGCACTTTTTTTGTGTGTGTGTTTTTGTTTTGTTCTTGTGATTTCACTGCACGCACCTGTTGAGCCCACACACTGTGTCGGTTGGAAGATCTGATGATTAAGAGTTTAGTTTCGTCAGCTTCAGAGAAAGAGAGAGATGGAGAGATAGAGGGATAGAGATGGATGGAGAGAGAGAGAGAGAGGTGGGCCCTGGGGCGATGAAGGTGCGCACTCTCCCAGGCAAATAATGAGAACATTGGTTTCCTGCGTGTGGCGGTGATCCGTGTTTGTGCATTTGTGTTTTTTTTTCAGACTGACACAAAAGAGTCTGTAGCGGTGAGCGTGTGTAACAGGCTCCTGTTTGCATAAAGTACAACAGGTGCATGTGAACAAAGATGGAGACATGGTTTATGTAATGTGTATATTTAGGCCTGTCACGATAAATACTGCCACTAAATACGTGTATCATTCGTTCATTTGTTTTTCAAAATAAAAGATGTTTAAATGAATAATGGAAAAAAGGACGGACTTTGGCACCGCATACGGACTGAACCAGGACTGAACTAGAACTGAGCCAAGACTGATCCCAGGACTGAACCAGGATTAAAACAAGACTAAACAAAGACTAAAACAGAAGTCAAGTTCAAGATTAGTCCTGGTTTAGTCCTGGTTCAGTCCTGGTTTAGTCCTGGTTCAGTCCTTGTTCAGGCCTGGTTCAGTCCTGGTTTAGACCTGGTTTAGTGCTGTTTTAGTCCTAAATTAGTCCTAGTTCAGTCCTGGTTCAATCCTAGTTCAGTCCTGGTTTAGTCCTGGTTTAGTCCTAGTTCAGTCCTGTTTAGTCCTATTTCAGTCCTGGTTCAGTCCTAGTTCAGTCCTGGTTCAGTCCTAGTTCAGTCCTGGTTTAGTCCTGTTTTAGTCCTGGTTCAGTCCTGGTTTAGTCCAAGTTCAGTCCTGGTTGAGTCCTGGTTTAGTCCTGTTTTAGTCCTGGATTAGTCCTAGTACAGTTCTGGTTTAGTTCTTGTTTAGTCCTGTTTTAGTCCTAGTTCAGTCCTGGTTTAGTCCTAGTTCAGTCCTGGTTTAGTCCTGGTTTAGTCCTGGTTCAGTTCTGTTTAGTCCTAGTTTAGTCCTGTTTAGTCCTGGTTCAGTCCTGTTTAGTCCTGGTTCAGTCCTAGTTCAGTCCTGGTTTAGTCCTGTTTTAGTCCTGGTTTAGTCCTGTTTTAGTCCTGGTTTAGTCCTAGTTCAGTCCTGGTTCAGTCCTAGTTCAGTCCTGGTTTAGTCCTGTTTTAGTCCTGGTTCAGTCCTGGTTTAATCCTGGTTCAGTCCTGGTTTAGTCCTGGTTCAGTCCTGGTTTAGACCTGGTTCAGATTTGATTTAGACCTGGTTCAGATTTGGTTTGGAGATAAATAATGAATAAAATTGTTGTTTTTTCATTTTCTCATTTTCGGTTTTATTTTGAAAAACAAATAAATGAATAAACTTATCATTCAATATATGTATAGATGGAACAATATACAAACAGTACTAAAGTGTATCATTCAGCTGCTTATTTATTCCACCTCATGATTTTTTTTTTTAACAGTATTGTAGATTTAGAAATGTGTTATTGTGATTTCATTGGCAAAAATTAGTTTCAGTATTATCATTTTTCCTCTATAGTTTCTTCATTAATCTACTTACTGCATTTTGGGTGCAGAGGCCAAACCTTAAAGAACAAATATGCATAATTGTTGCTTTAATTCCCTTTTAAACATGAATGAGAAAGCATGAAATAAACAAATGAACTCCCCCGTGAATGCTCTGCTAACAGAGCGACGAGTTTGCCCTGAATGAGTCCAGAGATGGTTTGTGGGGTTAAAGAAGTGCGTGGGAAAATTTGTCTATGACGTAACTAAATGGGCAAAATGCGAACGGAGCATTTTTGAGATAATTTAGATTTTTTTTTTAGGTTTCCAACAAGGGCGTAGGTTTTGGTTTCTCTATAATATTGTTTACTTTTCCTATGATGCACACTGCAAAAACCAAACAGCACATCTTTATAAGAAAGGGTAAAATAGGATAAGAAATTGCATTTATGTTTTATGAATTATTTCCAAAAACACACAGAGTCTGGGTAGGTCCAAAATAAGTGAGAGGTGGTTTCATTTTTCAGTTCAAAATGTACAGTTTGTGTCCATTGTCCTTCTAAGATGATTCTTTACTGGATAATAGCGATGTAGAAGTTTGTAGCAGATTTCCCTTTGCTTGTTGGTGACGAGATATTTGTGAGGTAATGTCCAAACATTTTTCCATGGAATATTGTCAGTAGAGTCGAGCTGCTCACAGTGCATGAGTAGGGCTCCGTTTGGGAGGTGCACTTGTGGTGATAGTCGCTCTTTTTCTGCGGTGACTCATTATAAGGCGAGTTTAACTGAAGGTGTGTAAAATTTTTCTAAATTTGGTGCACAGCGTCTTCACTCACGCCCGCTCAAGCCGCCATTTTCAGGTGCGGCCCTGTCCTGCTGCAGTTTAGACTCCTGGCTCCACTCATGACATCACTCTGTTGCAGCCAATATAACAGCGGCAGGTGTAACCCTGTCGTCATATCACTGAATACATCTCAGAACGTCTAATAAACAAAATGTGAACTAAAACATGTTAAATTAATACTATTGAGCTTGGAAAAATATCGGAATAAATTTATACTTTTGTTTATCAAAATAAAATGGAAAATATTGGTCGGGACTATTTTGTCTTCCCCAAATATTGGTTGTGACATGTCCCCACCGTCCCTATGCAAACCTACACCCTTGATTTCTTACATTGTTCCCTCATCAAAAACAGACCTGACGAGGTTTTAGATTTCATCCATGCATGTTTGAGTAATTTAACGATCTTTCTAGGGCCGTATCCAAACCTCCTTATGGTTAGCAGTTAAGATCTGTCCAATGTTCAGCCCACAAGCCTAAGTGATCCACGCTCCCAAATGACAATTCTCCATAAATATACAAAAACATGATACGAAACTGTACGCACCAACTTGACAAACCCGGTGCCGCGTGCAGTAGTTTCATTAGCGGGATAAACAGAGCAAATGGACAGAAGTTACATCTTAAAATAAAACATGTTATTAGGTTATTTTCAGCGAGTATAATACTTTCAAAACAATATGCCCAGTTCACAATTACAGGAAAACATCTGGGAACATGCAGATGGCAACTTCCGGTGTAGTTACCGACACTGGGCATGTAATAAAACCAGATTCAGCAGCAACGCTCTTCACAAACTGCCAAAGCTTTCCACGGAGGACATCACTAATCACATATTCCATGTCACTTACAGGCAGCTGAGTCTAACTGTTGATCTGGCGAACACTACAGAACGCTATCTTTTCGTTCTTTTTTTGCAAATTATAATGCACAAATTAATAGGACATTTATAAAAGGAAAAAAGAAAGAATACAATGACATCTAGATGAAGAAAACTGGATCATTTGATCAGTTTTCCCAGATTTGGCAGAGTTACTCTGGCCAACAGAGCCCAAAGGAAGTCGTTATCCACATGTTTCCAAATGTCTTCCGGTTTTGTGACATACGTGTGAATAGAGACCACCGGAGATAACATGGTGATCTAAATATGTTATGTGTTAGCAGTTAATACCCCGAGTGACACATTTCTTTTGCCACTTACAGCTCTACTCTCAATCAAGGCTCTAAATCCTGCCCTAAATTGATACTTTGCAGCCCATTCCCTGGGCATTGCTCTGTTAGAAACTCTATTAGACTTTACATCTCTTCCACACAGAGGCGGTGCTACCATTGGGCAAAAGTAGGCAGCTGCTTAGGGCCCGCAAAACCTGGAGGGGCCCCCAACCAATTTCTCTCAGTGTCCCTAATCGCTGAGACCTCAGAGTGATTAGATTTTCTCTCAATATGACATTAAATGAGAGTATTTTACTTTTAAACAGTAATCATAAGAAAAATTATAATAATAATGTAAACATTTTATTGTAGTAGCAAAAAACTCTAACTAATTTCAGCTCTGTTTATCTAGTAGGCTACCGAACTAATAAGACAAGTTTCCAATCCACCATAATTCACATAAATAGAGATGCGCATGTCTCAAGAACAATGAAGAAAAACAGACTATATCTATATATCTATATATATATATAGATATATATATATTATCTCTCTCTCTCTCTCTCTCTCTCTCTCTCTCTCTCTCTCTCTATATATATATATATATATATATATATATATATATATATATATATATATATATATATAAAAAACTTGCATTATAGCGAGGGCCCCAAACTCAAGTTCCCCCAAGGCCCCCAAATGACAGATTCTGCTACTGCTATTTGATCTGATTTGTGCTTTTTTGTCAAGTCTCACACATAAAATTACAATGGCAAGTTAGTTTATCATTAGCCGGCAGTTTTTCAATTAATCACTCTCACTTTTTTGTTGAAAATCTAACTCCTAAACAGGACCACGAACGCTCGTATGGATCACACGCACCTGAATTTGTGTTGTTTAAATCCGTTTTTTGTTTTTTTTTCTTGAGTTTTCAGGCAGTCATTGTATTGCCATGGTAACTGCTGAATACTCCATTTTAGAGATGCATGTAGAACACCCCCAGCATGATATCACTGCATAGTATCAATAATCTAACCCATACCTGTTTGTTTCCCCCAGGACAACCCTCTGCAGCTGCCCCTGAAGAAGTGCGCGGTGGTGGGGAACGGAGGGATCCTTCGTCACAGTAAATGTGGCCGGGACATCGATCAGGCCGACTTCATCATGAGGTGAGAAACCGTATAAAGAAGGTTAGATATGTCCATTTATATATACAGTATACAGTCTGTGGGTGAGTACAAGTTTGTGTAAGAGCGTGGAGAATGTCATGTGAACACTGTGACTAAGAGAGGCCAGCACAGGAATCATACTTAGATATGGGGAGAAAGATGCAAGGGCTCATGGGAAATTGTTTATGTTTTATGTAAAATCACAGAAAACTGTGATTACTTACTGCTGCTCTCCAAGGTTGTATGGCTTTTTCCAGAATGTTTCACAGTATTACATTCGACATATTCCTGTTTACACGAGAACGCTTGCAGGTAAAAGCGACAAAATATTTTGTCAGAAGTGCCTTTCGTTTAGACAGTGACGGCGTTTTTGGGGCTTAAAAACGCAAAAATCTGAAACCACCCTCCAGAGTGGAAAAGCTGACGACGCTCTGCTGTAGCATTTTCGTCTACACTGCCCAAGATGCAAAACTCTGGTCAGATCTGCTCATGTCACGTATGCGTTTACGTCACATACATACAGTACACAGAAACCTGGCATGCATACTTAATCGAATTCCACACACTTTTGCGTCACTGTATGCACGCAGATTTCTTTCTGAAAATGCTCGTCTAAACGCGGAATAAAAACGATGCAAAGCCACTTTTGCATCTTCTGCTCAGACCGTCATATAAATGTAGCCTAATATATATACTACATTTATTACTGTATAAGATTACTGGGAATGTAATGTGGCGAAAACTGTTGTAGGTAAGACACTTCACCCACTTCACCCACATTGCCTAGTTTGAAAGTGGTGTGTGTGTGAGTGATGGTGGTGGCCGGAGCGCTCGATGTTGCAGATTGGCAGCCTCGATTCCGTCAGTCTGCCCCAGGACAGCTGTGGCTACAATAATAGCTTACCACCACTGAGTGTCGAGTGAATGAATAATGAACTGTTAAGTGCTTTGGGTGTCTTGAAAGGCGTTATATAAATGCAATGATTAAGTAAATAATGCTGTGGAATAACATTTTCATAGTGATGGAACCTCTCTTAAAAGTGCACTATGTCACTTTTATGGTGGAACATATGCCACCTGCTCATTTCTATAAAAATGCCTAGAATGTAACAAAGTCTGGCATTACACTTAAATATTTCACAGTTATTCAGTTACAGAACTACAGACACACACAATAACATGTCTTTGTACTGTGAGCACGGTCGCCTCCACAGATTGAACCCACAAACCCACAAGCTACTATCTAGAGAAATACATTTTATGCAGCACCGTGGAACATTCTGAGTAAAGCAAAACATCTCCATGGAGTCAAGCGGGTGACAGACTCTCCAAAATTACTTAAAAATAACAACCAGACTGTGAAGGGCAAATGCTAACCTAATTTTTACACTAGACAAATAAAATATATGACAGCATGTTTATTTCCTGAAGATAATGTTAAAACTGTTTGAAAATGGTGTTCCTTGTGCATAATTTGCATTTTGGATGTGCATTGATGTCTAGAGGGATTTCTGTGGCGAGAAACGTCTAAAGTGTAGTGGAGGTTAGATCTGTGCCTGGGTTAGTGCTGGCTCCGTCCTCGATATGGTATAAAGTGGAATCCATGACCAAATGCAAAACTATTTCTGTATCAATTGCAATTAAAATTTCTTGTGGAAGTATTATATAAGAAGGGAATAAGAAAAAAAAACATGACTGACAACGAATGAAGCGGTGAGTCATAAGATCATAGCAGTTATATTTTCAAAAATATATATTTTTTGTTGCTGAAATCTTCAAGTTATATTTGTATGTTTAAAGGGCTCATTGTGCCATGTTCTGATCGATGTTATAATGTTTCCTCATCACAAACACACCTGGAGTTTTGTTTTGTTTCATTCACACATGTTCAACACACAAACCCTGCATATTTACACTGAGTTCTTCTCTCAAACTGAAAAAAACTGCTCCACCTTATGATGTCATGTGGTAATACAGGAAGTGCTCCACTGTGTTTTTAAACTCCATACACCTTCACTAGACTCATTTAGATCATTTCAGCCCTGGAACTGCCACTCTCTACTGATCTAAAGGTAAAAGGTGCTGTTAACATGAAAAGCACCACTTCATGACATCACAACACGTCACATAAAAACAACAGCAACCCCAGCCCATGTTTCACCCATATATACAACAATTTATTTAAAAAACTTGCAGCGGACCTCAGATCCTCAGTCAGACTGTTTCACAAATGGGGGCTGCAAAAACTGAATGATGCTTCATCCGTGAGTTTTAGTTTGGACTCTTGGGACCGTTAAAAGATGAGACCTGAGGGCCTGAGAGTCCCAGAGGCTCAAATGATAAAAGCAGATCAGATAAATAAATAGAACTAAGACTCGTTAAGGGCTTTATAAACCAATAAAAGAACTTTAAAATCTATCCTGAACCTCACAGGAAACCAGTGCAGAGACTTCAGTACTGGGGTGATGTGTTTCTCTTTCTGGTCCTTATCAGCAGCCGTCCTGCAGAGTTTCGAAGTAGCTGCAGTACTCAAACATGTGTGAATGAAACAAAACATTACTCCAGGTGTGTTTTTGAGGAGATAACAGTATTATAACATGGCTCAAAGCTCACAAGCATCTATTATGTGTAATATAGGACAATAAATATGAAACATTTTACTCCCACTTTCATTTACTGTGCACATTGTGTAGTATAGATTATATTGTCTTAAAAAGTCAAATGATTTAGGCTGAAGCAGTTTTAGAGCAATTTCAAGCCTGATCAACAATAATTAAAGATGCACTATGACATTTTTGTGAGGGGGAGGGTTTTACCACTTACTGTCTCCATGGAGATGCTATTGCTTTGCCTGGAATCTTCAGCAATTATGCGGAGAGACAATCTCACTCACAGTAACTCACATGCATTTTTTTAAAGGTATTTTAAACCACAAAGACACATGTAATTTGATAAAGGACAGATAAATATAATGCCAAACTGTGGAACATATAATTCAGTTTATTCTTTGTTATAATATATTGTGTATAAATCTAACGCAATAACATCTCCACACAAGAAAGTGTCACAAGGAAGTGTCAAAGCTCCATCAAAGAGTCACACATTGCACCTTCAGCTTTAGAAATAGCAAGAGTTGGTGATCGTCCTTTGGCTGGGATGGGCTGCTGACAAAACCATATATGGTGCTAATCATTGTGTCGCATAGGTTTTGTTGTTGCAACTGTTGACAATCTAAACCGCAGGAAACCGTCTGCACAGACAGGAGCTATAGAGTCGGAGCACTTCCTTTGGCGCAGAACCAGAAAAATCTGCTCTAAGTGTAATCTGAGTTCCTCTGAATGACACTAGTGATACTCTGCAGAAACCCTCACTCTAAACGGGAATACAGCGGGAGAGGGAGCGTGTACTTTTATACTTAAATTAATGTGCGTGCGTGTGTGTGTCTCAGTGACCTGCTTTTAGACTCCACTGTAATTCATGTAACTTTGTCTACAATACATATACTTGACTGGGATCTAGGGGTGGGCGATATCTCGATATATTTAAAATATCAAGATCTTTTTTAAACTTGATATGAATTCTGACATATCGTATATATCAATATAAGGCAAGGGCAAGGCAAGTTTATTTGTAAAGCACAATTCATACACAAAGTAATTCAAAGTGCTTTACAGAATAAGAAATACATAAAAATAATCAAGAAGATTAAAATTAAAAAAGAGAGAAGAGTGTGGAATGAAAACCTTTCAGTTATATGCACAGTCAAACAGAAATGTTTTGAGCCTGGATTTAAACAGCGTCACAGAAGAGTCTGTCTCACATGTTCAGACTGTTCCAGGTTTTAGCTGCATGAACCTGAAACGCTGACTCCCCTTGTTTAGTTCTGACTCTGGGCACCAGCAGGAGGCCGGTCCCTGAGGTCCTCAGAGTGCGAGATGGTTCATATGACACTAACATGTCACAGATGGACTTTGGTGCTCGGCCATGGAGAGACTTGTACACAAGCAGAGCTGCTTTAAAGTCTATTCTCTGAGGCACAGGAAGCCAGTGCAGAGACCTGAGCACAGGACTTATGTGCTCGTACTTCCTAGTTCGAGTAAGGACCCGAGCTGCAGCGTTCTGGATGTTCTGCAGCGTCTCACAGCTCGTTTGGAGAGACCAGTGAGCAGAACATTACAGTAGTCTAACCTACTGGAGACAAACGCATGGATAAGTTTCTCCAAGTCTGATTTAGACAGTAAACCTTTGATTTTTGCTATGTTTTTTAGATGGTAAAAGGCTGCAGATGTTATTGATTTGATGTGGCTGTTAAAGTTCAAGTCTGAGTCCATTATTACCCCTAGATTTCTTGCCTGATTTGAAGGTTTTAGAGAGAGAGACTGGAGGTGACTGCTGACACTGTCCCTTTGTTTCTGTGGACCAAACACTATGACTTCAGTCTTGTCAGAGTTTAGCTGGAGAAAGTTGTTTTGCATCCACACACTGATCTGTTGGATGCAGTGACCAAGTGAGTCCACTGGTCCATAGTCTCCTGGTCCAATGCTTATATTCAATTTTGATTCTGTCGTCGCCCCCGCCTCCCTGATTTTGCTGTTTGTGTCTCATTCACTACTGCCATGAATGCAGAAAGTTGCTGCCAGTGCAAAGTTTCTAGCGCCACAAACCTTTTCCACCATTTACAGACAAAACCATCAGCAGCACATCCTCATATTCCACTGAGTCGTGTCCTTTAGTCCGAAAGAAGCTAAACTGCATTAGCGGCACAAGGGGAGCGCTGTTTATGCAAATTAGCAATGTGCTTTTAAGTTTTGTTTCTGTAAAATGTAAACAAATCTGCGCTAAACTGCATTAAACACATTATAACCTCAAACGGGCTGATGTGGCTCTAGAGTCGTTATGCTTTATATGTTGTAAAGTTTATTTATGCAGAAGATTTTAATGAATAATCTGCTGCAGTGTCACTTGTACAATAGTGTTGGAAACATTGGGTTTGATCTGCAGTGGATTGTGGGATTAAACCTCACAGCTCCTTCTGCTGGATAATAACATGGATCTATTAAAATAAGGAACATCCTGAGCTTCTTCTGCTAAATGAGCTCATGGTTCTGGTTATGGTACAGTTAACAGAGTTAATGCAAAGATGAGCTTGTGTTGAGTTGTTTTATTTATGAATGAAAAGAAGGAAATATATATTATTTCTTTTATTTTACTGTTAAATTATTATTTGTGTAATAAGGGTTTTTTGTAATCTTAAATGTTCCTATATGAACTGCCGACCTCTTACACTTCAGTAAAAAAAAGACCTTGGGGAATTTGGCAGATTTGTGTTTGCAGTTTTCACTTTTAGGGGGTTATTTTTTCCTGTACAGATATCGATGGCTTATAAATTATAACTATATATTTTTTGATCCATATCGGCCAGCCCTACTGGGATCTAAATAGACACTTCTTGAATACTTTGTGAAAATGTAAATCTGGATATCTTTGAATCTCCCAGAGTTCAAATGTGCGCGATTGAGGTCTCTTATTTTATAAAATAAATTTCCCCCAATAAGTGCGACTTATAGTCTGGTGTGACTTATATAGATTTTTTTCTTCTTCATTATGCATTTTTTGGCTGATGCGATTTATAGTCCAAAAAATAAGTTCAGAGTTTTCTTCCCATCCATCACTGCAAATAGACTACCACAGCATGTAAGAAAATCAAATGGAAATATGATTCAAACCATATTTAAATGCAGTTTGAGTGTAAGTGTGCAGGCTTTGTCTCACCGTCTGTGTTCACTGTAGTAGCCTTGCACCAGTGACTTGTGTAAATCTTTTACGATCAAAACAAACTCAGGCCTTTGCATCCAACATTCATTACAGTAGAAATGTTTGATACAGAACTACGCTTCACCACAGTTGTAGGTCTACACGCATCGAGGAAGGAAAAATTTAAAAAATATTTTCTACAATTCTTATTCAATTCTTATCTCTTATACTCTTATAACTATTCATATATACTGTAAATATACTTTGATTTTTAAAGTATTTTTTTAAGTATATGCCTGTATTTGACTTGGGACTTGACTCAGACTTGAGGTTAAAGACTTGAGGCTTACTTGATAGACTTGGTCCCACCTCTGTAGTTTGGTATTAAACTGAACTATCTCCCTGGAAACAAAGGATCTGTGCAAAGGACGTCCCGCTGACTGTAGCTGTGCATGTTTTTTGAGCAATAAAAACACCCACAGCTGAATAAATATTTACATGGATAACTTTAATGCTGCACTTTAAGCTGTGCAATTAATCGAATTTTGATCACGATTTCGATTTTTGTGTCAAACGATTTCCAAACTCATAATTGAGCTGAAACTATTTAAGCTTAAGAAAGTTTATTTATGCTGAATAAATGCATCGTGTAACTAAAAAATAATAGTTTGAATAATCGTGATTTTAATATTGACCAAAATAATCGTGTTAATGATTTTTTCCATAATCAAGTAGCCCTAATGCCACACTGTGAAACATTTCAGAAAAAGGAATACTATCTCCGTGGAGACAAGCAAATAACAGAACCTCCACCTGAAAAGTTACACAATGCACCATTACAGAGGGTTTTTTACACTTCTATGGGGTATTACCAGTGTTGGGGAGTAACAGATTACATGTACCGGAGTTACATAATCAGAGTACAAATTATGAGTAACTGTATTCAGTTACAGTTACTGTTTCATTGAGTGGTAATTAGATTACAGTTACTTTGTTGAAATAAATGAGATTACACGGCGGGATTTTCCTGTTTTCACATTTTGTTCTATATCCCTTTCTTTTTTATTTATTTATTTTTTTTTAACCAAGTCTAAACCAGGACTAATTCAGGATTGAACCAGGACTGAACCCAGGACTAAAACCAGGTCTAAACTAGATCTAAACCAGGGTTAAAACCAGGTCTAAACCAGGGCTAAAACCAGGTCTAAACCAGATCTAAACCAGAACTAAAACCAGGTTTAAACTAGATCTAAACCAGGTCTAAACTAGATCTAAACCAGGGCTAAAACCAGGTCTAAACCAGATCTAAACCAGAACTAAAACCAGGTTTAAACTAGATCGAAACCAGAACTAAAACCAGGTCTAAACTAGATCTAAACCAGGTCTAAACTAGATCTAAACCGGGACTAAAACCAGGTCTAAACTAGATCTAAACCAGGTCTAAACTAGATCTAAACCAGGTCTAAACTAGATCTAAACCGGGACTAAAACCAGGTCTAAACTAGATCTAAACCAGGTCTAAACTAGATCTAAACCAGGTCTAAACTAGATCTAAACCAGGTCTAAACTAGATCTAAACCAGTCTAAAAGTCTAAACCAGTCTAAACTAGATCTAAACCGGGACTAAAACCAGGTCTAAACTAGATCTAAACCAGGTCTAAACTAGATCTAAAACAGGACTAAAACAGGATTTAACAGGACGAAACCATGCCGTGTGGACCGGGTCTCCTCCTCTTCTATCAATAATATTTTTAATTTGGTTTAGTAAAGTCTGGGCTTTTTATTTTCCTTTAGCAGAAAAAACATCTTATGTGAAGATATCCGAGTCTTTGCTTCTCTGCAGAAAATCAAGTAATCCAAAGTATTCAGATTACGTTACTCACTTTAAGTAATTTAATGGATTCCGTTACAAACTACATTTTGGGGTCTGTAATCTGTAATCTGTAGGGGAATACATTTTAAAAGTAACCTTCCCAACACTGGGTATTAATTTGTTAACACAGTACATATTTAGATCGCTAGATTACTCAAACATGCATGGATGATTTATAAAACTATAAATGGTAGAAAGCTCCAAAAACTCATAACTGTGTAAAAGCCTCTCGTTCTTGTTTGTGGTGGGTCTCAACTGTATTTTCACATTATTCTTTTAGTTTTTGATTTTCAGGGCTCCAGACACTATATTAATTAGTACATTGGCGGACAATTCTACCCCTCGGGCCTAATTAAAAAGATATTTTTTTTTTTTTAACATGTTTTATTTTTGTGTTTATAGGTGTAATCTGCCTCCGCTCTCAAAGGAGTACACAGAAGACGTGGGAACCAGAACACACCTGGTCACGGCCAACCCCAGCATCATCGAGAAGAGGTGAGCGTCATTTTAACAACTTGGATAAATAAATAAATAATCAGATATTCAAGAACTTTAAAGAGCCCATATTAACCTATTTTCTGATCTATGTTATAACGTTGTTTCCTCATCACAAACAGACCTGGAGTTGTGTTTTATTTCATTCACACACACACACGTTTAACACACAAACCCTGCATATTTAGGCTGAGTTCTTCTTCTCTCAAACGAAAAACACTCTGTTCCACCTTGTGATGTCATGTGGTAATACAGGAAGTGCTCCACTGTGTTTTTAAACTCCATACATTTTCTTTAGAATCACTTGGATAATTTCAGAGATGGATTTGAGAATCTCGACTGAACTAAAAGTAAAAGGACCTGTTAAGTTTAAAACTACCGCTTCATGACATCACAAGGTGGAACAGAGCATTCTGAGCTTTGGAGATGTAGACAGACTAATAATAAAGAACATGTAAACATTTTTTGATGAGGTATAACATGATTAGAAGCTCTCATGATGCTATGTTGCTTAATATAGGCACCTTTATTTTTAAAAGCAGAGACATTTCCCTTCATTTGTTCCCACCTTTTACACGCAAACGGCGAATTCGTCTCTGAAAATGAATCTTTCTAAAAATTCTGGCTAGAGTGGAGATTCTGGAAAACTACTAAAGTTTGGCGTTTGCGTGTAAATTGAGATAAATGAAGTTTTAGGAGCTGAAAGTGCAAACAGTGTTTCCCTGTTGCTCTGATGATGATGATGAAGCGTTCAGAGCAGCAGTTGCATTTCTTCAGGTGCAAACACTTTTCATGTGTTTATATTTACACACAACTGATGTTTTATATCCATGACCAGAGACGAATGAGGCTCGGAAGTCAGCAAATTTTACCACTTCTTTAACAGATCTGTGGAGAGGCGAGCCCGCTCAGTAATGCACGTTTTTCGAGGTATTTTTGAGTAATACTTACAACTGTAATGAAATAAATTCTACAGGTTTTAATCTAATCCAGGTGCTGCCCAGAGGCTTGGTGTAGTTATGACGGCGCTCAATGGTGTATTTATTAGGGTTGATGTAAACGAAAACTTTTTGAAAAATGCTGTGTGCACGATGTTATTTTGGAAAACAGAGGGAGGGAAATATTTGTTTCTCAACAAACCCGGCTTCATTCAGGCACTTCCTCAGTATATTTTCAAGTTGGACGACTCATTTTACTAAAACTCTGCTAACATCATTATATTTAAGATTTTTGCAAAAACATTCACACTCCTTTCCCAATTTTTGACAATTTTTTAAGATTAAAATTTTTACTTCTGTAGCATCACACTACGGAATTTCATAACTCTTACCTGGCCAAACTCCTCTAATGTACATAAGGAAACACTTTTAGAACCTGATATTTTATGTTATTAGGTTCTTTTTTCAGACCAAGAGGTTTTTATACCTGACAGTTTCGACTATTTCCTCAGAGTGGTCACGTGATGTTGCAGTAACGTGTCCGGTCAGTTGATTTATACAGGTTTTGGCGCTGTCTTCCTACTGGTGAAGGCAGGATGACAGCGCCACCTGCAGTCCGACTTCCTCAGGACACGGAAACGAATACTGTCCTGAGGAAGTTGTAAACCTTGTTGGACTATTGTTGAAATCATGTTTAAAGTATCAGGGGGAAAAAAAAACACTCCCTGTTATTTTCAACATATTTTTCAACTTTTCTTAAGAAATTTGTGTAAAAGTATTATTTATATGTACAGTAGTTATAATCCTACCAAAATAAGTCAGAATTTGAGAATCATAAAAATCTGTCAGACGCTTTTGAAGGTTCAGCAAAAGTAGCAGCAGCTAGGGATGGGCATGATTAGTCGATTAATCGATAATTGATCATTAAGAATTTCATCGATTACGTAAATTTTAATCGACAAACCGAATGTAGGTTGCTGTGCGTAGCGTGACCAAACAGGTCTGTACATGTGTCTCTCTGCACTCAGAAGGAGCGAGCAAACACAGTCAGTCCACCTGCAACGTACCGAAGTGCAAATGCGTATTTAACGATGACTTGTATAAGAAATTCCACGCTTTCCGTTGCGATCGGGACAAGTGTGAGTCCATGTGCACAGTGTACAAAGCAGCACATATGTTTCGGTGTCCAGTGGGAAAAAGCTTTACCAGGTGAGAGTCGCGCAATGTCGATGACGAGTCTCCACATCCCTCCCCCCCGTACGGTGTCCTGGTTTTGACAAACGCAAATATGGTCACACTAACCTGTATTCCACTGAATCATGTCTTTTAATCCGACAGAAGTTGACCGCATCAGCGACACAAGAGCTGTATTTTTTATCTTCGCTTAGTTTATGCAAATTAGCGATGCGGTTTAAGTTTTGTTTCTGTGAGAGTTGCGCTAAACTGAATTAAACACATTATAATGTCAAACGGGCTGATGTGGCTCTAGAGTCGTTACGGTTTATTTGTCGTAAAGTTGAATTTATTTATGCAGATTAGTAGTGCAGATAGTAATAATAATTGATGATCAATTTAATATAAAAACGTTAATGATTAATCGATAATCGATCGTTAATTCTCTCGACGATCGATTAAGAAAATTTCATCGAATGCCCATCCCTAGCAGCAGCAAAAGTAGTAGTAGTGGTAGTATTGGCGAAAGCAGTTGGTAGTACTATCATAGTAGCAGTCAAATTATAAAAGCAGAAGTTTTAGTTGTATTCTTAGTAGCGTGCCAGTATTTAATTGGATTTGATTACATTGTGGAGCAGCAAAAGAACACTGAATTCTGTCAACTGGACAAAAGTTTTGAGGCTGACCAGTGTCTTTTTCTGTTCTCGTTCCTGTTCTTGTTCCTCGTGTCTGAGGAGGAAAAGGAGGAAACTACACTGAAACTACAGTACCTATTTCCGGTAACTAGGCTGATAATAGATATTTAAAGCATTCACTTACTGGAACCTAGTCAAAACTGAAGATGCTGTTTGAATGAATGGCGAAATGTATTCACTCTAAAAAAACAGAACAAAAAAACACAGACACACACACGGGGTTACACAGACAAGACAGTATAGATGAGTAGTTTTTGTGATAGCTACTTTCATGTATTAATTTATTTATTTATGCGACTTCAGATAACTTACATACTAAAAGACGAATATTTCATTTAAAGTGCTTTGTGTACATTTTCTGGTGGAGGATCTCTCACCTGCTTGTCTCTGTGGAGATGTTATGGCGTTGTCTAAGATGATTAAACCTGTCTATCTAAAGGGAGACAACTACAGGCTACATTACAGGTCAGATCTGTGGAGAGGCAACCATATGCACAGAGAGAATTATTGTATATTTGAGCCATAGATACTAGACTGATTCATCTGATTCGCAGCATTAGGATTCGTTCGCTCGACAGTAGGCGGGTACTTTTTTTATTTAACCAATCGCTGCTGTTTGGTCGTGAAGTAAGTGAGTGAGTGAGTGAGTGAGTGAGCGAGCTTTTATTTATATATCACCTTTCACAGAGTGCTTTACAGAGTGCAATAAACAACACATACAAGAAGAGAGGAATTACAGACACAGTCAACTAAAAGCCTGTCTAAAAGCAGTGCCTTGAGCTGCTTTTTAAAAGAGTCTTGAATCTGCCTCATGAAGGGTTAGAGGAAGGGCGCTAACAGGGCTAACTGATATATTAAGCTTTTCCCAAATCCTGTAGGAAGAAGGGCAATAACGTCTTTCCCCTTGATAAAATTCACCAAACATTCTCTTTGTTCCAGCTTTAAATCCTCGATCTTGGGAATCGTTGCCAACACAGGATGTATGGCTCTCCGCTGGTGCCCAGACTCGCACTTCTGTTTTTTTGTTTTGTGAACCGTCTAGTGTATTCCAATAGGCGAGTTTCATTGTTGACAAAAGCGCGCGTTGCATGCTGGGAATTATTTTGGTCGCCGGCAAGAAACACTAATTCAACATGACGGACGGAGCGAGAAAGCATGTAAAGGGTATTGATCCCGGTTATTTATCCACTCTAACGGCAGAGAACCCAAGACCATTTGACCAGAAATTCGGTCATAAGCATCAATGGACGACAAATCACCCTTTTCAACCCCTACAAAAGGTGGACCAAACCAAATTTCTGGTCGGAATCACCAACTACCTGGCCAAATATTCATTTCGGCGATATCCACAATGACTTGGTGGAAACTCCTGGGCCATTCACAGCAGAAAAGATGAAAACCTCCAAGAGTCTCGATGTGTTGTTGAACTTGTTGGAGTCCACGGTTTGTTAGGATCTTCTACGTTTGCTCTGCGAATGTTTGAAAGCCGTTTAATTCACCGTTAGCGGTTCTTTTCACTCAGAATACGAAAAAGACATTTTCCTTCTTCCGTGCTTCTATTTGTGCATCCGATAACGCAGCAGGAATTTACCATTATCGGGGATAAATACGCAAGGTTACGCACTGTGTTTGACCGCTATCGTGTTTCTTGCCTCCGACCAAAATATTTCCCAGCATGCAACGCGGGCTTTTAATAACAATGACGTTAGCTGAAACTCACCTATTCCTGACCTAGTCGCTGGAGGGAAATGAAATTGAGTGGAACCTGGCTAAATAGACTCATAATGGATAAATGCTAGATAGATGTGTTTAATGTCATACTATGGACAGGAGCGGACAGTGACCAAAAAAATACCCCTGGACTCAGAATTGGCCCATGGTGGAATTGAAATTGAGGACCGGGGGGAGGTTTTGGTGCACTCAAATCAACCCACAGACCATGAAACATTCTAGGCAAAGCAATAACATTTCCATGGAGACAAATAGGTGACAGAAAGGTTGCTCAATGCACCTTTAAAGCTGCATTTTGTAACTTTCTGGTTGAGGTTCTGAAAATTACAGGTGTTTTTATTGCTCAAAATTCTTTCAAACACATCTGTATAGTTTAATGCCATATTGTGGAACTTTACAGGCAGAGCAATAACATCTCCATGGAGACAAATAGGTGACAGAAAAGTTGCTCAGTGCCCCTTTAAAGCTGCATTTTGGAACTAATAAAAATGGGTGTTTTTATCACTCAAAATACCTTGCAAAACATCTATGTAGTTTAATGCCACACTGTGGAACTTTACAGGCAAAGCAATAACATCTCCATGGAGACGAGCAGGTGACAGAAAAGCTGCTCGCTGCATCTTTAAAGCTGAATTCTGTAACTTTCTGGTGGAGGTTCCGAAAATTACAGGTGTTTTTATTGCTCAAAATTCCTTCGAAAACATCTGTATAGTTTAATGTCATATTGTGGAACTGTTGTGAACATCCCCATGGCGACAAAAGGTGGCGAACGATCTCCCACCTAACAATTTACAATGTCACCAAAATAAATATATAGCAGGAAGTAGCTCTCTAACAAACGAAGTGACATGAATTGTTAACCACAATACTGTATATTGTTTTGCATCTTTAACATTCTGGTGTTTAACCTCAGATGCCCTCTCATGTAACCTTCATTTATTGATGTCTAAACTCAGGAAGCCCTGTTCCTGTGTGAGAGGAAGTACGGGTGGCAGCTGTGTGTAAATTGAGACTCTCAGTTTGACTAAAAACAAAAACTACAATGCTTAAGACAAGACAATCCAGAAAAAGATTTGAGTGCTTTTGGTTTGATGGATGCTCAGTATTTGTTTTAAAAAGCCCATATTACACAGTCAGATCTTTTATCTTGTTTCCTCATCACAAACAAACCCAGAGTTGTGTTTTGTTTCATTCACACATGTTTAATTCACAAATCCTGCTTATTTAGACTGAGCTCTTCTCTCAAACTTAAAACACTTTGTCCTGCCTCATGATGTCATGTGGTGATACAGGGAAGAGGGATCATTTCAGCCTGACAGTTGCATTGGTAAAATTTAAAGGTGCATTGTGTAACTTTTGTGGTGGAGGATCTGTCACCTGCTTGTTTCTATGGATATGTCATTGCTCTGCCTGGATTGTTCCACAGTATGACTTTAAACAGCTCTACCTCACAGGTCTAACACATTTTCAACCTGAAATAATAGCTGCATTTTTTGTACTTTAGTTGCTCCAGAGTAGGAGTCGCACCAGCCAAAAAATGCTTCATGAAGAAGAAAAAAACATATATAAGTCGCACTGCACTATAAGTCACACTTTTTTGGGGAAATGTATTTTATAAAATCAGAGACCAAGAACTGACAATTCACCTTGAAAGGCAAGTTATAGTAATAAGAATAGAACAGAGAACAGACTGTGCACGTCACATATGAAGAGTTCTTCAGATAACTAAACATATGAACAGAAAATAACAAGTTTAGCTGCTGCTTCCTGTTCAGTGTAGCTGTTGTCAGACTCGGCATCAGTTCCAGTTAGAATTATTTTGGCCTTTCTGACTTCACTGAAGTCAAGTTTAAATTGTCAGTGGTACAGAAGTAATGGTGCGATTGATTGACAGAGGCTCTTTCTGCAGGAGACATGTGCAGTAGAGCGCACAGTGACAGTGGTACAGGAGTAACAGGAGCAGCAGATACTGACACACAAGCCTAGAGCCTCTCGCAGCTGTCAGTGTGAAAATTTTAATATATAAGTCGCAGGAAACACCCAAACCATGAAAAAAAGTGTGACTTATCGTCCCAAAAATATGGTAAGTTTTACCATGTGGTGTGATTCTAGTTCTGATATAACTCAAAACCATTCTAAAATAATATTGTTGCAAAAACATATTTGGAGTTGTGTTTTGTTTTATTCACACATGTTTGAGTATTCCTTTATGATTAGTCTGTCTACATCTCCAAAGCTCAGAATACTCTGTTCCACCTAGTGATGTCATGAAGTAATAGAAAGCAAGTAAACTGCTCCTTTTACCTTTTGTTTAATAAAGATTGTCAATTCCAGGGCTGAAACTATCCGAATGATTCTTGTGAAGGTGTGTGGAGTTTAAAAACACAGTGGAGCACTTCCTGTTTTACCACTTGACATCACAAGGTGGAACAGAGAGAAGAACTCAGCTGAAATATGCAGGGTTTGTGTGTTAAACATGAGTGAATGAAGCAACTCTGGGTATGTTTTTAATAGAGAAACAACATTATAACAGATCAGAAAATAGCGTATCATGGACCCTTTAAAAAAAAATCTCAATTTGTCTATTTTTGTACCTATTTATATCTTTTGTTTTTAGATTTCAGAACCTGCTGTGGTCGAGGAAGGCGTTCGTGGACAGCATGAAGGCCTACGGCTCCAGCTACATCTACATGCCCGCCTTCTCCATGAAACCGGGCACGGATCTGTCTTTACGGGCACACTACGCCCTCTCCGACACCTCCTCCGACATCACCATGCTCTTCGCCAACCCCGAATTCCTCCGCACCGTCGGAAAGTTCTGGAAATCTCGCGGGGTGCACGCCAAGAGACTCTCCACGGGTTTATTTCTGGTCAGCTTAGCGTTAGGTCTGTGCGAAGAAGTGACTGCGTACGGGTTCTGGCCTTTTTCCATGGGCCTGGACGGGCAGCCGATCAGCCATCACTACTACGACAACATCCTTCCTGATAAGTGGTTTCACGCCATGCCCGAGGAGTTTGTGCAGCTTTGGCATTTGCACAAAAGCGGCACACTAAGGATGCGGGTTGGACACTGCCCCCTACAGGAAGGAGGGTCATAGACAGCTGATAAGATTGGACTACGTGTCATAGGAAGCAGATGTCTCTCTACCGATTCAGCAAACTCACAAAAAACTGCTGCGTAAGTGTGGATATGATCTGCTCCGTGTTTATTTACATTACAATGAACTACTCCAGAATAGGGGGGGTAGATGAAGTAGGATAGACAGTCTCAAAAGCAGAATTTTCCCCCGTGTGAAAACTATAAAATGCATGAATGTGGTTTTGCAAATGGGGACCAACCTGGTGCAAAGTAACATCTGAATCTGAACAGTCGGGGGCTGCTTTTTGTCTTCTGTGTCTCACTATGGACCCGCGTGACCAAGCTCCCCCAGTGGGTTTTTGTTGAATACAGAAGGAGAAGAAGAAGAGAAGGACCCGGGGGGGATTATAAATGCACTGAATAGACCAAGTGAATCCAAGGAGCGAGGAGAGGAGAGGTAATGGTGTCCTAACTTGAAAAACAAAGGAAACTGCAAACGCTAAAATGACTTGAATTGAAAATATTAACCAAAATTTGAAAACTTTTGCCAATTATAACTTATTCACTTGTTATAACTACACAATTTGACCTGTTTCAAGATATTTATGGTTTGAATCTAGTAGTATTGTTTGTGAGTGCTTTATTAATACACCAGCTTAAAAATAATGTACTGTATTTTTCGGACTGTAAGTCATTCCGGAGCATAAGTCGCACCAGCCAAAAAATGCGTAATGAAAAAAAAAAAACATATATAAGTCGCACCAGTCAATAAGTTGCACTTTTTTGGGGAAAATTATTTATAAAATCAGACCAGGGACCGACATTTCATCTGGAAAGGGAAGTGTTAGGTTTATCTAGACATTTAAAAACAAGAAGAAAGACAAGAGATTAATTCAGTTTTACTCATGAGGAGAACGGGCAGAGAGTGGGCATCAGGCCAACAGTCTCCACACGTTCTGATGACTCAAGGCCGTTCTCCTCTTTTTATTTCATTAGGAGGCCCTAGTTACAGAATGATAATTCTCAAGGGGAAGGGGAAACAGCAAAGACATAATAAGAAACTGGTGCAGCTATGCATAGTACAAACACATAAAACATGATTAACAATCAGGAGGTGCCTTAGGTTTGGTCAGACACCATCATAACTCTTGCATGTGTGACAGTGGAAGTTGGCTTCATGTGAGGAATCATCTCGAGGTTCACTAGAGCGATAGGACACTGCACACAGTTGTCAAACACAAAGAGGTTATTCATTTTCATACAAGTGATTGGTACATTATAAATCAAAGAATTGTAGTACATAAATGGTTAACTCATAGGCCTAGAATATCACACAAGTATTTAGCAAATATGGGATAATACAATTATTCTGACAGAAAGTTACAGTAATAATAACAGAACAGAGAGCAACAAACTGAATAGGCGTCTAGTATATAACGTAACATATTTAGTCTTTTTTTGAACTTTTTCAAGTTATTCAGATAATTATAGCAGAAACAATATAACATAACAAGTTTACTAGTCTCTCCATCTCACTCCAAATCACTAAATCCATTAAATTCTTCATCCTCTGTGTCATTTCTGAACAACTTTGCGACCTCCAGAGGTAAACAGAGCGCCGCTTCCTCTTCTGCGTAGTTGTCGTCAGACTCAGCGTCAGTTCCAGTCAGAATTATTCCGTCCTTTCTGAATCCCGACAGGATGGTTTCGGTGTCACTGAAGTCCAGGCTTTGTCGATCCATCCAGTGACTTCCAGGAAAGTTGGATGGTGCACCCTCCCAGTTGCCGTGAAGTTGTGTTCTCCATCCCCGCTTTCCACCAGTCCCTCACAAGTTTCTCGCTCACTCCAACCTTTCTTTCTGCGACTCGATTACCGTTTTCGGCTGAATATTTCACTATTTGCAGCAGGACAGCGGCTTTTTCTGCAAGAAACATGCGCAGTAGAGCGAAGTGACAGTGGTACAGGAGTAACAGGAGCAGCAGATACTGACGCACAAGCCTAGAGCCTCTCGCTGCTGTCAGTGTGAAAATTTTAATATGTAAGTAACAGTGTTGTGCATGAACGAGTCAAAAGAAGTTCATTGAACACGCATTTTTCAGTGAACTTTGAACTGAACGCAACACTTTTGTAAATCAGAACTTGAACGTGAATTTGTTCATGTGTGATGAACGACGTACGTCACTGTTGGGGTTCAGTTAAACGTCGGTTGACGAGTGACGATCTGCTCGCACTTCACCTCGCGAAACCACAGCCCCGTTCAACGCGAAGGCGACTCCACCGGCAGCTTTAACGGAACATACGGGCTCTTGTGTCTCTCAATGGGAAAGTCAATCAAACTTCACTGGCGCGTTTAGCTGCTGTATTTACCTTCTGTACAGGCTGACCACGGCAAACCAAGGATTTCAAAAGTAAATTTCAAAGCACTAATTAACAGTTTGTGTGGATCTGGGCTCTTTCACATGATACCAACTGCCCAGGGAGCACATGTCTGATGGTAAATGCACAAATACAACAATAGATACATGCTCTCTGTGGATTTTGACGGGGATACGCGCCTACGCTCGTGTAGAGCGTCAAAAATAGGATGGATCCTATTTTCTGAAATCTACACGCACAGGACGTTTCCGCGCGCGTATTATTTTACTTGACATATTCAGTAACGCGCGTCACAATGCTTTTTCTGGATTGAAATGGTGGTTTTTCGTTTTTCTTCATACAAATTTGCTAAAATCACCGCGATTCAGCAGCGGTGAAAACACCGGAGTGCGCCCGCGTAAACCGTGATCCTGAGCAAAGGACAATAGCTCCACCGAGCACGCAGCTGACGCCCGATCGCACTCGGGTTCTCTCAGGGGCGGTCCTAGATTCCAAGTTCTAGTCTAGGATTAGTCCTGGTTTGGTTGGTTCAGTCCTGGTTCAGAGCAGTCCTGTTTAGTAGTAGTCAGTCCTGGTTTAGATTCCTGGTTTAGTCCTGGTCACAGTCCTGGTCAGTTCTGGTAGAGGAGTCCTGGTTCAGAGTTATTCCTGGTTTAGAGCACTGGCAGAGTTCACTGACCTGGTTCACTGAAGACCTGGTTTAGTCTAAAATAAAAGCAGCCTTTCATTTACAGATCTCACCTAAATATAAAATGTACTGAACTTTGCTAGTTAAAAATTAAATTGTGAACTATGAAAGTGAACTATTCACTTTGAACAAGTGTGAACTGAACTTTGAACTAGTTCATGAAAAGTGTGAACTTGCACAACACTGGTAAGTAAGTATAAGTCGCAGGAAACACCCAAACCATGAAAAAAGTGTGACTTATAGTCTGAAGAATACAGTATTTAATGTTGCTCTGTATAGTATTTCTGCCGGAAGGTTCCACTACCTGCTTGTCTCTATGCAGATGTGTTTGCTTTGCTGGAAATGTTCTGCAGATGGGATTAAACATACTGCCATTTTTAAATTATAGATGAAAAAATACGTGACCTTCCTGTCTTGTTTCCAGACATGTTTAATGCCATACTGTGGGACAAAGCAAAGCAACAATTACATCTCCGTGGTAATAAACAGGTGGCAGACCTTCCAGAAGAAAAGTGCACCTTTAAGTTTAAGAATATCTTGAAACGATGCTGTAAAATATCCCTGAACAGGTCAAATCAGCTGATAATTACGGAAATTGGTTAAGTGAATTCTACTCAGTTATGAAGTCATTTTAACTACGGTGAATATTTGAAGTGAAAAAATGAAAAAAAGAAGAAAAAACAGGGGGCATCAAGGAGAGTGAATGAGCTCCTGCTTCATGCTTAGTTGGCATTTTTCGCCGTGCCAATCAGAAAAGAGCAAAAAGAACAGGGCCTATTAAAAGTCTTAAGTTTTATGTCTCTTCGAATGTCTGGCCAAGTTGCAATTTCACCCCTCAGTGAAAAAGGGAACGCGCGCTGCCTACTGATGTGAGAGAAGCATTTTATTTGCCAAAACTTTTCTAAATGGCTCGTGAAAAGAGGAGAGAGCAAAGATACAGTACTGTGCAAAAAAGTCTCTGATTTAATCAACTAAAACTCATTGTCTGTCCCTTTATTGACCCCTAGTGGATGGAGTTGGTATTACTGGACGTTTTATCTCGTGGTGGTACAATGGTTAGCAAATTTACCTCGCAGCAAGAGGGTCTTTGGTTTAATTCCGGGAATAAAGGGGTCTGATCTGTGTGGTGTTTGCATGTTCTCCCTGTGTCTGGGTGGTTTTCAATCTTTTACAGTTTTTTTACCCTAAAACAGGAGCCCAGCACTCCCCCGAGTCCCGCAAACTAAAAATGAGAGTAAAGTAAAATATACAAATGATTAATGTAAGCCTATCACGCATAATTTGTGCTTGATATTTTATTTGGCATTAACAAAAACATTTTAAGCAGCCTAAATTTGCGGACACGGTCTAATCTCGCGCACATTTTAGACAATTCCTTTCCACTTCTCCGTGTTTGATAGAGCTTAAGAAAATGAACATCCCCATCTTACAGGATTTGCAGGCGTGGTCTAGCCAGGCTGGCACCATCTAGTGCCTTCGCTCAATTTCATTTCTCTCCAGCGACTAAATCAGGAATCGAATACACTAGACGGTTTGCAAGAACCCCAGAAGTGCAAGTTCGGGCACCAGCCAATCAGCAAAGAGCCATACATTCTGTGTTGGCAACGATTCCCGAGATTGAAGATTTAAAGCTGGAACAAAGAGAATGTTTTGTGAATTTGATCAAGAGGAAAGACGTTATTGCCCTTCGTCCTACGAGATTTGCGCATTACATACGTTAGGACAAAATAGCAGTGATTGGTTAAATTAAAAAAAGTACCCGCCTACTGTCGAGTGAAAGAATCCAAATGCTGCGAGGTCAGACGGTTTCAATGAAGTGAAACTGGCTGATGAATCAGATTAGGCACGGGCGGGAGCGTGACTGAAAATTCTGTCAAGCGCAGACCTCTAATCTGAAATGGTTCCTCAGGTGCTGCACTGTGGTCAGTTAGTGCTCCAAGTTACCATCAAGATTCAATAATATTTCATTTAGGAAATCAATTTAAATCTATCTTAATGCTTCACTCTGTAACTTTTCTAGTGGAGATCTGTCACCTACTTGTCTCTATTCATTTTAGAGTGCTAAAAACTACCTTGAACGACACACATTCTAACTCAGACCAGCCTGGTTATACAGTATCACCTGCATCTCTCCATGGTAAGAACAGATAAATGAGTTTAATGCCAAACCAGGGTTTCACATTTCAGGCAAAGCAATAACATCTCCATGGAGACAAGTAGCTGGCAAACCCTCCTCCTTCTCCTGAGTTTTATTATTGATATTTAGAAATGTTCATCTTGGTTTGGTTTCAGTGTTATTTCAGACTTTTGTGAATTTTCAATAGACCAAAAAACCTTCAGCTTTCCTAGAATCGGTAAAACTAACCACAACTAGCATGCTAACGGCGCACTTTTCCTGATTCTCGGACAATAAACTGCTTTATAATTAGATGTAGACAGCGCACGGTGGTCTCGTTTTAACCCTAAGAGCTGCTTTTACACTATATCTGTACTAAGGAAATAGAAAAACAAGGTACTGCTTCTTTAAGATTACGCATAGGCCAAGACTTGATAAGCTTAATAAGATTTTTGCACAGTACTGTATGATTAAAAAAAACATTTTAAGCACCCAAACCTGAAGGTGCATCATGTAACTTTTCCGGTAGATGATCTATCACTTGCTTGTTTCTACGGATACCTCATTGCTCTGCCTGGAATGTTCCGTAGTGTGACATTAAACAGCTCTACTTTACATTTATTCCAATACAAGTGGTTTTACAGCTCAAAAACATCTAAAAAAATCAGTGAGCGGGGTCGCCTCTCCACAGATCTGACTTATAACTTGTTCTGGTTCGGCCTCCATGACGACAGAATAGAAAGCTTTAATGCCGTACTGTGAAACATTCCAGACAAAGCAATAATAACAATTCCACGGAGAAAAGCATTCGACGGACGCTCCGCCGGAAAAGTTACGCGATCCACCTTTAGGCGGGCTCACACACGGGACTATTGTTATAAGTATCTATGTCCTTGTTGTTACCGGGGGCAACCAATAGCCTTCTCTTGGTACCTGTAATTTACCAAGTGCCAAGCCAAGAGAACAGAGACTTCATTGATGGGAGTCTTGTACTGTCACTGCTGTACACTCGCTAAATACGGAAAAAGAAACCGACTAACCACTCAAAATGTCCCAACATGGCATTTCAGAGACTGTGAATACTTTTTTCATTTTAATGTTATTATAAGGTAAATAGTGATATTATTATTATTATTATTATTATTATTTATTCCATTGCCGTCTTTTGCGATGGGAAAAACTGGTAGAACTGAGCCTCTGTTGTGATTCTGACTTAATGTGTGACGTATTTTGTTTTATAGTTGTATTTTATTTTTGTACAAGGGAAAAATGTAAAAATTTAAAGCCAAGATACTGACAGATTTTTTGCATGTTTTTTGTACTTGCAGGCCTTGGAAACAATTGTACATTTTGTGATTTTTATTATGACCACGCCATATTAAAGGGGCTGTATTACGCTGTTTTCTGAACTTATAATGTTGTTTTCTCATCAAAAACACGCCCGGAGTTGTGTTTTGTCTCATTCACACATGTTTAACATGCCTCTATCAAAACGAAAACACTCTGTTCCACCTTGTGATGTCATGTGGTAATACAGGAAGTGCTCCAAAGTGTTTTTAAACTCACCTTTACCAGAATCATTTGGATAATTTCAGCCCTGGAATTGCGAATCTCTACTAAATTAATGACAAATTGTAGCTGTTAACTTGAAAACTACCACTACAACGGTGTAACAAAGCATATATTTGAGCTCCAAAAAACCAAAACACAACTCCAGGTATGTTTTTCACGAGGTAAAAACATTATAACATAGTTTAAAGCTCACAGGAGTCGGCGTAATCCAGAACCTTTAACACGACAGCAAAACACAAGGATGTCTCTGCATGGGAAGTGCATGGGGGCTCGTGAATCAAGTCTTTC